ATCACTCAACTGAACTACACGCTTTGTTGGTTGCATATGTTTTGTGAAGCCGAAGGGTCTGTAGTTTTTATCTATGAGAAGAAAGTTGGTTGAATAGCAAGATCGCATCTGAATGATTATGTGTATTGGACTACATGTGTATAGAATCGATATTTGCTGTGTGAGAAGTTTATCTATTAGCTGTGCCCGACGGGTTATTTATATGTTGTCCTTTCGGAAGACAGGTTATGTTCAAACTTATCCATTACGAAAAACTTTGAGGAGAATTACGGGCAATCATCACCACGCCCACGTTGTGTGTAATTACTGTTAGCATGTATACGACTTGTAAGTGGATAGTGTACAGTGAATATAATTCTTTAGTATCTCTCTCATTTTTTAAATTCATCAATGGATAAGAAAAAGTGGATGCGCAACTGATTTCTAGCTTTGAATCTCTAGTAAGTGTATTTGAGATAAGAATCCAATAGAATTATCATCAACACATACAAGTTACAACTTAGACCTTCAGTATTGTCATCTCTAAAGCAGATTTTACATCACATCAGAGCCAAACATTGGAGCTGATGTTTAGGCAACACATGCAACTACAAAACGAGTTCACAACGTCTCTATCAGCTAGTGCTGAGTTAACATCTTGTAGAAAAACCTACATAATGTCACAAAAAAGTCGGCATAATGTCACTTTTCAAGATACGCAATACCCGTGCCAGTCAAAAAATAAATAGAAGAGGAACCCTTCTGTACGGCACTGTATATTGTTTTATATTTAGTTCGTAATTATGGTATGTCTTACTCTGTCTGAAAAATGCATTTAACACGATTTTCTTAAACGTTATTAAGACATTGTCAGAGCGAAAAACCATTATTTGAACATATCCAGATAAAACGTAGCTCGTCTGAGAAAAATAAGGCGGTAATAAAGAGTATTTCTTGCTTCGTTGGTGGTGGCGCAGTCGTGCTTAAGGTTTTGAACTTAGGCCGGAATACGAAAAGTTGTTTCGAATTCAAACCGGTCAGTTCTTCATTAAAGGGTTGGAAGAGATGAAAACTTGGTATAATAATAAGTATTGCATCTGAAGACAAGGAGTGTGGTTAAAGTATGATGCGGGTTAAAGCAGTCCAATTAATGAAAAATCCAGAACTTTTGAATTATTGGGAGAATATTGCACAATGAGTATCTCCTACTTTAATAGATAACTACTGTTTGTGAAGCATAATGATAATTTGCATGACCTCCCGTAGGGGGGTGTCAAGGGGGCCGTGTCCCTCCCCACCGCCCCTCCGCCCGCCTTAAGAATCCGATTGGACTTTATTTCTATACTTAACATGATTTAAAGTACAATTTCAGGGAATTACGGGATTTGCACTTCCACAAAAAATTATCTCTATCCGCTGAACAAAATTCTTTCGGGCGACCATGATACTATGATATCGCATATCACCCCTCTCGCATCGACGGTCGTCGGTAATCTAGCTCTCGTCGAACGCTATGTCAACGAGCATTGCGCCTCAGATCTCTCGACCATGATGCCGCCGCGCGATGTGGCTGCCATACAGTCTCCTCTCCTAACCGTGACGAACTTTGTACATCAAGAACTGGTTGATACAACTGCTCCCTTGACCCTAGCGTATCTAAATTGTGAAACAATTTACCGGAGGCGGCTTTTCCCAGTTCTACTAACCTTAGGCAGTTCAAAAATCGGATTAACAGAGTTTCTTTAAGCTCCTCGTAGCAGCCGCTGTGCCCTGGTATTTAGGTTTCTGCCTATGCAGCTGATTTGGTATAATAAATAAAATATGGGGTGCACGCAAAAATATATATACAAACCACGCTCTCATAGTCATTTATTCAAAAACCAAATACGATCGAGTAGCACAATGTCGTGTTTTTGTACAAAGCTTCATAATAACAATGTGTAGAAGATCTATTTCGCTTTACTCAAGCTACTTTAGTCTGACACTGACATTGAGTGACTAGGCAGATTATTTGTGACCCTAACGTACTCGAATTTCTTCGTTCTTTCTTTCATATTAGGTAAATACGCACATTCGCGAGCACGTTCACGAGATACAGGTTACTAGCAAAATCCTATACCCCTTTACTTCAACTTCCTCCTGTCAATTTTGGATTGCGCATTTAGTGACGCAAAATATATATTTTTAAAACTGATTGTATTTTTCCTTGTTACTTTCTGCTTCCAGATTTTTTAACTGTCACATGTGGCAAGAAAGCATATAAGCAGCGAAAATCTGGGTATTTTTGTTATGTGAGTTGGAAACTACGTTATACCTTCTAAATAAGCTGCCCAGTGTCTGAAGAGTTGTGTTAACTCCTTTATAAAATAGAATTTAAACAATTTTTAAGTGGTATGAAGTATGGGTCAACCGTTTTGCATTAGTGTGAAGGAGATTGGTTTCGGAGAAAGGAATGCTATATTCGAAGTAATGCAATAGTTACTTTGGCAATGGACAACTTTTAATGCAACAATAAATTAGTATCAAATATGTAAACAGAATCACAATAAATAATTATCTCACTGCCTGTGTGGCAACAAATCTAAATCAAGACGATCACGCTAAAACGAATGTCGAAATGCAGTAAATATACGATGCAAATGCCCTATTCATATACCATTAATCATTTAGCGACTGAGCGCTTCGGCACCAAATACCTCATGGCAAATTTCATTAACTCGACAGTCTGTAGCTTATAAAATGTGTATCTCGAATTTATTTCTCGGGATATAAGGTGCTATTCCAGATTATAATCTATCTCTGTACCAAATTTCATCCAGATTCGTCCAGCCATTTTTTCGAGATTGAGTAACAAACACCCACACTCTCCGCCTCCGTCTACGAGAGAGGTGGGGAGGGTGCCGTTTGACTCGTGAGATCCTAGCATTATTTTACCAGTTGTCGTTATGGAGCCTATGATTGTTTCGTCCGAAATACTGAGTCAGTCATCGTCGTACAGCGTGAGTTTCGTCGCCACTTCAACATTCATCGGCATAGAGCTGTTTCCTCTCGAAACACCATCCTCCGTTGGGTTGAATCACTTCGCAGGCGTGGTGAACTGATCAACAGAAGACCAAGAGGAGGGCCGCGAACAGTTCGAACTCCTGAAAATGTTGAACGCGTTCGACAGGTCTTTCTTCGCAGTCCGACTCGATCTGCCCGGAAACATGCTGCTGCACTTCGCCTTAGTGATCGTTCGGTAAGGCGAATTTTGCATATGGATCTCCGCTTTCACCCCTACAAATTGGCCATTGTGCAGCAGTTACAGCCCGGAGATTATGCACAACGAATGAACTTCGCACGTGAGATGGACGCAATGATCGATCAAAATGAGAACCTCATTTTGTTTATGAGTGACGAAGCCCACTTTCACCTAAACAGCATGGTTAACCAGCAGAATTGTCGTTATTGGGCTAATGAAAATCCGCAACAGTTACACGAAAGACCGCTGCACAGCCCAAAAGTAACGGTTTGGTGAACTGTATCGCCAACTTGCATCATTGGCCCTTACTTCTTCGAAGACGGTAATGGTCGTGATGTTACCGTGAACTCAGAGCGCTACGTCGACATGATCACCAACTTCTTTCTCCCTAAATTACGACGGCGACACGTTCCAATCCGACGAGTGTGGTTCCAGCAGGATGGGGCGACCGCCCACACAGCCCGAGCATCCATGGACGTTATTCGCCCTCTCTTCCCTGGTCGTCTTATTTCCAGGTTTGGCGATGTTCATTGGTCTCCTCGGTACCCAGATTCATCCATATGCGATTTTTTCTTATGGGGACACCTCAAAGCTAGAGTATACGCGAACAAGCCGCTAACTCTGGACGAATTGAAGGGCAAAATTCGCGTGGAACACGCCCAAGTTGAGAGAGCGATGTTGGAGAGAGTCTACGCGAACTTTCAAGGACGCCACCAGCACTGCATCAACGATTTCGGCCACCACATGCCTGATGTGATTTTCCACACTTGGCTGTCTCAAATGCTATTTAGTTGTGGACCTGATTCTATCAATAAATTTGTTTTCGAGTAAAAATTAACTATTTTATGTTTTTTTAAACCGTCCATCCTCTCTGCCGCACCCTGTATTACATAAAAACCAGTCGACAGCGAGCGCAGGAGACATTAACATCATTTTTCACTCTTCGTACATGGAACTTGGACGTACAAAGCTTGTACATTTTTCCCGAGTGCCTGTTTTCTTTGAGACTGAATATAAAACGTAAATAGATTAATGTACAGGATGTCTCTTGATAAGTGTCCAACATTTCACTGCGTGATTTCGTAAATGTTTTATAACAAACAGTTTATGGCTTTCGATGTTCGTGATGTTGTGAATGCTTACACCACTGATGATTCTAAATGAAGGCATAACATGAATATTTTTCAAATAACACTATGGTGATATGGGGCTACTCTTCTAAAACGGCACGCACAATTTTCAATGCCATAGCTGAGCAGCTGCACATATTTGTTCATCAAAATAACTTACTGACCATCTCCCAATCTGGCTTCAGACCATTACATAGCACCACCACTACGCTCCTGTCTATATCGGATAATATTTATCACGCGGCCGATCAAGGAAAGCTGTCTTGCTTAGTTCTTCTTGATTTTAGCAAGGCCGATACGGTTGACCCAAATATTCTCTGAAAAAGGCTTAGATACTTTGGCCTGTCCTCATCGGCTTGCACGCTGATTAGAAGCTAATTAGCTGGTCGCTCACAGTCTGTCATATATGAAAACAATATATCAACTTCTGTATTCAGAAATTTTGGTGTCCCTCAAGGATCTACTTTGAGTCCCCTTTTATTTGCTCTTTATATATGTCATTTTCATGAAACCGCCAGCTACTCAATCGTTTATCATTATGCCGATAATACCAACTTCATAACAGCTTCGCTCCTGATGAATATATGCTTGGTTAAAATCAAATCAATCAAGATCTGCAGTCTATTTTTGACATATCTAGTGCTCACAATCTAAAACTGCAGGCTGGCCAATCTTGCTGCATTTTATTTGGGCCCAAAAAAAATCGTGAAATAAATCAATATCGCATTAATATTATGGTGAATAATGAGGAGATATCCTTCGTAAACAAATACAATATATACAAACAAGTTAACCAACAATGCAATGCGCTGCGTCAGTTATACCCGAGTCGAAGTGTCCTATCAACACAGCTCAAGCTCAACTCGTGCATCAGATTTTCTTATGGAATCCGTAAATTTGATCATATTAGTAGCGCGTTTGACCAGTCGGGATGGTTTAAGATGAACAAATTGAGGAAACTGCATTGCCTATCTCTGGTACATAAGACCCTTCTCCTTAAAGCGCCATATTATCTTTATTCAAAGCTAGACCTCCTCTATCAGTACGATCAAAGATCCTCTAGGAATCAACGCATCTCACTTATCCCGCGGCTTTCGACGGCATTGTTCACACGTAGTTTCTCGTACTGGGCACCCAAACTACATAACTGCTTGTCAAGTGAGTATAAAGAATAGAGCCTTAGCAATTGTAAAAAAAGGTTAAAGATGAGTTTAAAGCAATCGGATGGCTAGAATTTAACTTTACGCATATCCACAGGTAATTGGTTGTTTCCTTTTTCTGAGAAGTGCAATATTTTAAGCTTTTCTCTTTTTGGTGGTCAATGTTGTGAAGTGTACCGTTTAAATGTAAGTACTTTTTTTTACACTTTGTGTCAATGTTTTTTTAGGTCGGGTTGAAAAACAGCATAAGCTGACACTCCACCTTTTCGTTACTATTCCTTTTAAGCCAATTATTTTGTAATCATGCGACGAATAAAGGCCATTTATTATTATATTATTATTATTATTATTATAGCTCACCAATTTCAGCGTGTTTTCAAAGTAAAACAAATTGAAGTTTTTTGCACGGACTTCACCTCAACAATTTAAACTAATTTGATGATCATAATATTTTTTTAAATCGATTTTCTTTGTACTCCGTATATCAACGCAGAATAACTACTGATGTAATTTATCTCTTTAAAATGTTGCATAACCATGTTTATTGGAACCATTTAATGTATCTTGTACATTTTTATGTTGCACAAGTAAATACACGTCGTTTTATATGTTTTATAATAGGACTCCAACTGTAAACAATACTTTCCGCATTGTAATATTAATCAAAACACATTGAAACAACTAATACATGCGATAGCCATTAGTTATATGTATCTTTATTTAGGGATAGGTAGCACGGAAGGTACCATAAGAGTTGGAATTTTTGGTTTGTTGCTTTGCTACAATTACATTTTATTTTTTTTGATAAAGCAGCTTTGTTTTTCACTTTCTTTGTCTCCAATCTAAAAATTGACCTATAAGTGGATTCTGAATCTGTTGAGTATTAAATCATTTATTTTTATTTTTTTTTATTTTATTTTCAAAGAAGAATAGTCCGAGAAAAAATTCTCAAGTGATGCGATTCTATTTAAAAATGCAATACAAAATTTCCCAGTTCTTACGCCACTCGTGGAGGTTCGAGTGTAAAAATTATTGTATGTTTCTCTTATGTTGTTAGAATTACATGTGAACAAGTCAAAACCTTAATGCACCCAGAATGTATATTTTTGTCGGTTTCGAAATTATAATTTCAGCACCTTGCATCGAAACCCTCGGTAACCGATTTTTTTATGAAGTTTTCGCCTTGACAGACACGACATTCGGAGTTGTTACACCTCGACGAGCCCCTTCAGTTGGCCCAACTATTGAAATCGTAGTTTTTTTCTTATCAAACACAAATAATAAAAATGTAGCAGGCTGTTATAGGTTTGAAATATTAACAATCAATATTTTGATAATATATAGTAGAAAACACCAACTTTATCACTCCCTAATCAAATTTGCAGCATAAAAATAACACATGTTGCAATTACAGCATATCAACCTATTTTCATTTCAATCCAAAATAAATCTATAATGCATAGGTGGCTGTGAAAAATAAAAGCCATGACAATTGTTTTTATTAATCACAGCTGTGAGAATACGTTTAAAATAGTTTTGGGTAGTTAAGGTTTTCAAAATGGGTAGAGAAAAGGTTATTAGTGAGAAAATTCGGTTACTGGTAATTAATTTTTTTAATTGTGGGAAATCAAACTCAGAAATTGCAACTTTGTTAGACTTATCGCGTACAGTGTGAGAAATATTGTTAGAAGGTATAACGTAACTGGCTCAGTTAATATTAAGCCACGATATGTGAAAAAAAGTAATATCACAAATGCCGACCGAAGAGCTTTAAGAAGAATTAAGTGCTCTGTGGTGTGACGCTGTTAGAAGGAGAATTTCGAGATCCACAACTCATAGAGAGGCCCACAAACTGGGATTTAGTACTTGCAAAGTAAGTTTTCTTATACAAAAAAGTGAAGTAAAAACCCTAAAGTTGCACAACTTGTTTATAGGCCAAAGAAAAGCCACTATTAACTCCACTGCAAAAGAAAAATCGGCTTAGATGGGCTAAAGAACATAGACAATGGACACCTCAACAATGGTGTGCAATACAATGGAGTAATGAGGCCCGATTCAAAGTTTGTGTTGGTGACAGTCGCAGTAGAGTTATTCTCAAAAAAAAAGAAGCATTCCATGTTAACTGTCTGAAGAGAAAAGTGAAATTACCAGCATCCATTATGGTCTGGGACAGTATTTCATCAAAAGGAGTAGGAAAACTTCATTTTATTGATGGAAATGTGGATACAAATAAATATTTGGCAATTTTAGAAAAATCGCTTTTACCGGTGATGGAAGAATGTTTGACATCCGGCCAAGATTTGGTGTTTCAGCAAGATGGTGCAGCGTGCCATACCTCAAAAAAGGCTATAAAATGGATGGAAGAAAATAATGTACCACTTTTGAAATGGGTTTCTAGCAGTCCAGATCTGTCACCTATTGAAGCTTTGTGGCACGAGATGAAACAGGTTCTACGACAACATCCTACTCGTACAATCACCGAACTGAGACAAAAGCTTCAAGAAATATGGGATTCTTTTACACCAATTTTTTGCCAAAACTTGGTTAACACTATGCCCCAAAGAATTTCTGCCGCAATAAAAAAAGGTGATGTTACCCAATGGTAATCTTTCAACTGTTGCTTTGTTAACTTCGCGCATTTATTCGCACATTGTCTATTTGTTCAGATGTTCTATTAGTTATAGGTCTAAGTGATTTCAAATATGTATTTTTTACGACTAGAGTGTATCTAAAAATGTTTTTGAAAAAAAAATGGTTTTAGAAGTAAATAGTTTCGTCATGTTTAGTTCATAAAGGCATATTTTGGTACAAATCTTGAAGTGAGCCAACTGAAGTGGGCAGGGGCTTGTACTTGGTATCTGGTTACAAAATTAAAGTGGCGTGCGATTTTTAGTTTCAATATCTCAAAAACCTAAGAAATCATCCTGTGAAGTATTGAGCTCTTATTAAAGAATAAATACTTTCTAGATGGGTGTTTCTCAACAAATTTAGAAATTTCATTTTGCATTTCTTAAAAAAAATATCGAAAATGTTTCCTTTTTTTGCAGAAATACAAAGTTTTACTTTAGTGATGTTCATTGTAAATGAAGGTGCTCCATATTTTTGTGTATAACATGTAGACGAGTTACCTTTCAAAAACTATGAAATGAGGGAATGACTGATAGGATGGTGGAATGATTTTTACAACAATTGGATGCTGAATTCCAATAAAAAAAATAAGTTAATAAGTTAATTTATTAATAGATGTATTGAGATTTGTTTTATACTTTAGAGAGCTTGGATAAACCTTCTTCCCTGGGCACATCCTAAGAAATGAACAACCTCACCCTTAACTTTCAGCATTTTGGAGCTAACTTTACAAGTATCTTTGTGTACGTATCGTTTTTGAAAAAATGTTTCGACCTATATAGCAGTTTGTATCTCTTGTACTAATTGCAGCTTCAACATTTTGTAATATTTGTTCTTTTCTCCATGTCTACTTCCAATATCTTCATAGATATTTTTGATTTCCGTTGACAGTGCTTCTCCGAAAATGAGTTGTTCTTACAACGTCAGGAACTTATTAGATTCTTTAAAAACGAAGACGTACAGAATAGTTCGCCGCTTGTGCACTCTACGTCTATTGAGAGCAGTCAAATTCTCTGCTCTGTGCTGTTAAGATGGTGCAGGACTTGGTGGAGGTGTTTCTTCAACTATTCTCTGTAAATTTGTTTGTGATGTAAGTTGCTCTTCTCTATAAACTTTACTATTCTTTTTCCATTGTTTTCGTGTTTGGCTAGTTTCTCTTGCACTCATAGAACTTATTGACTTAACTTGACCTCTACTCTTCTTCTTTAAATACTTTAAACTTTCTTTTTCACGGAAGGCTTCTAAAGACTCAGCATTAATTTTCATTTGTTCTCGCCTCTTTCTGTCGTATTCCTTCTTTTTTAATTTCTTTTCTTCTTCACTTAACTTCTTCATTTTCCCCATTTTGATATGCGGATATGTGTTAAAATTAAAAACACATGCTATATAACCTGAAGTTAAACAATAACACCAAATCCAAAATTTTCTATATGCAAAAATCATTCTCTCATATAATTTTCATTGGCTCACTTTCTAATATAGTGAGGGAATGACCGTGAGGGAATGACGGATTTGCATAAACGGCACCGTAACCAACAGTACATCACCTCAAATTGATTTAGCATTTTGTCAATGGATTTTCCTCCCCAAAACAAAAAAAAATCATTAAAACATCCGAACGGTATAATGACTTACCTTTTAATATAAACAGTGAGGTAATGACACAGAGAAACTATTCAAATCCAATACTTTTTTGCAGCAACTCTTTTCGGTATTAAGAAATTCCGAAAGGTTGACATTATTAGCAGTATTGCCAAGTTTTAAAAACATAAAAGCTGCATTCAAAAATATCAAATGGTGTGACCACAAATCGAAGATTTATAACGGGTGCGGGAATGACTTCATTTCAAGGTACATAGTTTAAATAATTTTTTTATATGCATACTTATTTTTTAGCAATGAAAACTTGACTATACAATCCATACTTATTACCCAATATTTTAGTAATATTCAATTTATAAGAAGATGAACAGATTTGATTGTATATATTTTTTTATTATTAATTTCAGACCCAGGGACGAGATGAGGGAATGACTTTTAGACTAATAAATTAATCGTATTTTTTTGTATCAGTGTATTATCTAAATTTTTGCTTTTAAAATATTAGTGTAGATACTTATTGATATAATAAAAATTTCAAATTTATGATAAATCCATGCAACTTAGCATCTATATCTCAGGACATGAATTTCGAAATTTGCTGAGAAATACCCAGATTACATATTTATTTTCTTTTTATAAAGTTCCAAACTTTTTTCATTTACTTGTTCATTTTACAAACCGTTAAAGAAATAACGACAGCAAATCCTATGAGCAGCATTAAGAACACCGTCGAAAGTATGTACAACTTACCTTTTGCCACAAAAACACCGCACGCAAGAAAGTCCAAGCAACACAAAAGGACAATGACAATGGGATCCCTCGATCCAGCCAGCCACCAGCCCTCCGATCGGATCCGGCCGCGATATTCCCGGAGCAACAGACCCGGAGTGCGGAAAAGATGCAACAGCCGCGAAGTCGCGTTGTATCTAGTTGGCTGCGAACCGCGCGAGTTAAGGTGAGCTGCAAAAGCGCGCCACCGCGATACTGAGAAGCGTCGCGGGCGTCGTTGGTCGTAGAGCGTCGACGGCAAGCGGTGGTGAAGCGGCCGGTCGCCGCCTCTGGATCTGCCCGGGCCGCGTGGGTGGCCGTGGATGGGCGGCAGGCTGCTGCTTGCTGCGATTGCTGCTAGTCTTGCGGTGCAGCTAGCACTTATGTTGTAGATCGGCACGGGTATTATGTAAAAATCCTATAAAATGTCATAAAAACCTATAAAATGCACGCTAGGTACTTTTTAAGGTGCAAACAGTCAATCCACGTTTGCTCACTAGGATCGTTGCGAGCGTCCATCTATGGCAGGAGTTCCCAACCAGGGGGGGGCGCGCCTTCCAAGGGGGGCATAGAGAGATGTCAAGGGGAGCGGAAAGCGTTTAAATTTTAGGAAGAAAAAACAAAAAATATAAACAAACAACATTAACAAATAACGTTACAATGTAATGTTTAATTTACAAGCATAAAATTAGAAATTAAATATCATATTCACTTATTCTGTCAACCGCTGTTTCAAAACCCGGCGTCGTCAATCGCAGTTTATACAAGTTTCGACAAGTCACAACATGAAATCCGCGCGCAGCCCCGCCGCCTTCGATTTAACATTCATCACTTAGAATATATTTGTGTACTTACCAGACGCGGATGAGCATCTGTGACGTTCATTCCCACAAACTTTAGACAAATTTGAAGTTTTGTTGAGAAATCTGTTTGAGTGTGTCATATTATTGTGTCTCACTGTTAAAAGGTAAGTTTGTGTATTTACAAACTTCAGTTACCATTTTTATTTAATTTACTGAATTTTTGATTAAGTGGAGACGCGTTCTTAAATCGACCATTGGGACTTTTTTACCACATCACAATCAAACCGACGCGGCGGAATAATTTTGAAACGACGAAAGTTAAGTATATACCTAATATTGATTCCAAATGTATTTAAAATTACTATTATAACGTCAAGATGCCTACAAAAATATAAATCTCCCGGTGGCCAATATACTGTTGAATACATTACGTTATTAAAATAAAATAATGGGCATATAATTAGTAATTACAAGTAGGTATTTTGCTTATTTATTACTTGTTTTATTGCTATAGGTGCGAAAAAAAGAAAGTTTCCCGAAGATTACGTTAAGTTTGGATTTACCTTCATAGAAAAAGACTAGTTACAGTTGCCTCAGTGTGTTATATGTATGAAAGTTTTAAGTAATGATATCATGAGGCCCAATCGCTTTGAAAGGCATTTGAAGCAACAACATCCTACTCTGGTTTTGAAGACGAAAGAGTTTTTTCTTCTAAAGCAGAATCACTCAAGCGGATGAGACTGGATAAATCGGGAAGTTATCACACAGGTGTATCGCAACATCTCAAAGGTTCATTTGAAATAGCTTTTGTGATTCCAAAACAAAAGAAATCTTATACTATCGGTGAAGAATTAATAAAACCATGTGTCCTAAAAGCCTCGCAGATAATTTTAGAAGAAGATGCAGACCTAAAAATGAAGTCTATTTCTCTTTCGAATGACACAGTCAAGCGTAGATTTGATGACATTGCAGCAGTCATAAAGTCACAAATAATTAACAAAGTAAAATTATTTTTTGCCATTAGTTGCTATAAATCCACCGACATCGTTAATTGTGCACAGGTAATAGTTTGTTCGTTACATTGGCGGAGATATCATTCAAGAATATATTTTGTACTCCTAGTCTTTGACAGCGGGTGCTACATCTGAAGATATATTTAATTCAATATCAAACAAAAATTATTTAGATTGGAAGAAACTCATTGGACTTTACACAGATGGCGCACCTAAAATGATAGGTGTATACGATCGGGCTTAGCTAAAAAGCTCAAGAAAATGGTTAGTACACATTATGTTATTCATCGGCAAGCTTTGGCTTCGAAAACATTGTCACAGAAATTACTGCAGACTTTGGACTCGGCTATAAGGATTGTAAACTACATCACTTTGAACAGTCGGTTATTCACATTACTTTGCGATGATCTCAATTCTGATCACAAAGTTCTTCTGTTCCATACAGAAGTACGCTGGCTGTGCAAAGGCAACATGTTGGCTCGCTTTTATAAATTGAAAGAAGAGGTAATTCTTTTTCTTCACTTCAAAGAAAAACACGATTTCTTGACAATGTTCAAAGATGACACATTTCAATGGAGGTGTACTTAACTGACATACCTGACTACTTGAATGAGCTGAACTTGAAACTTCAGGACAGAAACAACATTATAATAAGCAATTATGGTTATGTTATATTCAAGGGTTCATATCAAAGCTTCAACTTTGGAATCAAAAAGTGTCTTCTGAAAATGTTATATCTTTTTGCAACTATAACATACTAGACGCAAATTTAAAAGCTGACATAAAAATTCTTTTGAAAGCGCTGGAAGAATAATTTCGCCGATACCATCAAGACATCACTTCAACAATATGGCACATGACAAGAAATCCATTTGCTGTCGATGTGACGCAATTACCAGAAGAAGTTGAGGGAGAATTTCTAGAAATGAAGGCTGATTCATCCATGAAAGATGACTTCCATCTTTTAACATTGGAGAAATTTTGGATCAAAAGATTGCCTGTTAATTCGACACTTGCCTCTCTTGCTTTACGAATACTAGTTCATTTTTCTTCAGCTCACTTATGTGAGAGAGGCCTTTCTGCTCTAGTTTTAATTAAAACTAAACAGCAAAATCGTCTTGATGTCTATAGTGAGCTGAGGATAGCTCTGGCGAAAACAGAACCTAAAATGAGCCAACTGGTACAGAACATGCAATCTGAAGTGTCCCATTAGTACCTACTCTTATTTTATTCAAGTTTTTCGATAAAAAACATTTATTAGTTTATTTAAACTTTTAATGTTTCTTTATCAGAATTAAAATAAATGTCTTTGTACCTATATAATGTTTTATTTTGTATTTATTGAAAAAAGTAAAGGGCGGACATGAAAATATAATTTATAGTCCGGGGTGCCTCAACAAAAAAAAAGTTTGGGAAACCCTGATATATGGAAAAGTGGCTCAACTATACCACTACATGCATTGTTGGTTGTATATGTTTTTTGAAGCCGAGTAGTCTATAGTTTTCATCTCTGAGAAGAAAGTTGGTTGAATAGCAAAATGACAGTGATATTTGCTGTGTGAAAAAATCATTACTGAATATGCTGCCGATGAAGTACACGTATACCTATTAGCTGTGTCCGACGGGTTGTTTATATGTTGTCCTTGCTGAAGACAGGTTATGTTCAAAGTTATAAATTACGACTTTTCCCGTTTATTTGTGTTTTCAAAAACTCAACAGCGCGCCCGTGCTCTATGTAATTACTGTTGGCATGTATATGACTTGTAATTCGACAGTGTACAGTGAATATAATTATTTCTCAACTCTCCCATTTTTTAAATTCAGAAAATTTGCATATGTAATTTCCAGAATGTATAAGAAAAAGTCTATGCGCAACTAATTTCTAGCTTTGTATCTCAAGTAAGTGTATTTGAGTCAAGAATCCAATGGAATTATCATCAACACATATTATTAGCACATAAATCCTCATTATGCACCAATGCATTGCCGTTACCTCTAGTAATGCCATCTCTGAAGCAGATCTTACATCACTTTGACAACTGAAGCCTCATGACGTTTAGGCAACACGTACAACTACAAAACGAATTCACTACGTGTCCATCAGCTAGTGCTGAGTTAAAATCTTGTAGAGAAACCTACATGACACAAAAAACCAGTATAGTATAAAAAAAATCGACATAATGTCACTTTTCAAGATACGTAATACCCGTGCCGTGCCGGAGCTGTCATCTGCAACCAAAGAATTCAAATGGATTAGTAGCCAAACCTGTATTATAATAATTGGTGCATTTATTGCTGCTTTAGATAGACGTGTCTGTGCCCTCTTGCAGAAAAAGGTACAATCGAGGTACCAGGAAATCGATTTGCGATAGCAATACAGGACAATCACTGTTACCATGTAGGTATATGAAAATATTTTCGACGCGCTTCTTCAGAGAAGGGACATCAAATCTATTCAAAACAATGAGTAGTCATATCCTCTTGGAGGAGAGGCATCATTACTCGTATATCATGAATAAAGTTAGTTTTTAATTCTTACATTTTATTTTATTTTTACGTAATATATATGTGTATATATGTATGTTAGAAAGCTATCAAGCTGGTTGTTTTGAAGCGTCTTTTGCTGCTTGTCAAAGCTTCCTTTGATTAAGTGTTTGAATTTATTATTTGGGTAGGTTAAGTAGAGTAGCCAAGAGCTAGACTTCGCCTACGTAGAGGTCACATTATGTTGTAGTTTATATAATGTGCCTAATAAAGACATTTTATTATTATTATTATTATTATAATATTTCAGAAATTTCTTTTACACTTTTTCAATGTTACTTTTGTAGAGTTCGTAGATAGGGATATATTTTTACATTGCATATTACTCGTCGCCAAAATTTTTCATGCTCTTGTCTAATTAGCCTGCCAAAGTGACAAACCAATACATCGGCGAACATTTTCTTTTCTGAAAGTATGTTCAAGTAGCCAATTAGTCTGAACAAACACTATATGTATTGCGATGTGACTCGCTCAGTTATTGTTAAAAAAAAATCGCACATACGTCGTTTTTTGCGTATCAGAGGACGCCTATCATTTTTGACAAAGCTTTATGGGGTAAAAAATTAGGGGATGAGAGCTGTATGGGAATGAGATACAGTATATAATAATAAATAATAAAATATTTAGGGCGAAGGTAATCTTATAGCTCTTCTACCACTTAGCTCTTCAAGCAAGGAAATTAACATTAACACGGTCACAACGACAATGCATGGAGTAAAACCCGACTATAGCGGATAATTGTTTTTTTCGTTTTTTAGTGCAAATGTACATTTTCTGTAATATAATTTCTAGAAAATGTGTAAGTATTATTTTGAGTTTTGAATACCCTTTTCAATATGTACCACCGATGGGCACTGAGGGAAATGAAAAGTTCAGAACACAAGCGATGTCGAAGAGGCTAGAAATAAAGCCCAGCGTGTCTCTACATTTCGTAAAGATTATCCAGAGCAACCGCCACTATGTATTCAATGTTTTAAAGAAATTCATAAGTAAAGTTATGTTACCTTCCTTTGTAGAAAAATATTTTTGCTTCTTTTTTCACTAATAATTTTAACCCCATACTTAGTTTAGTTACTTCATCATAAAATCTTATGAAAAAAATGGATCTTTATACTTCTAATTAAATGTCACATAAAATTCACAATTATAGCCAAACGCGGCACCGGTGGCGCACTTATGTGTACTTACTATATCTGTAGTGATATGCCCAATATCCAATTCCTTACTATAAGCCGTAATAATCGGTAGCGCGTGAAATAATCAATTGGAAGTCTACCACCGGTGACCAATGACGATTTTTGGCAAGATAGGCGATGTACTACCGGTGTAACACGTCTTCGAGAACGTGTTAACAGATAAAAATAGAATAAAATATGTAAATTATAGTTCGGTACCCTCTAGTTATTGATATTATATAAATATAACATAAATCCACCTGTGGTATCAAAATTTTAAAAGAACCTGCACAGTTGATGGTCATAATTTAGAGAAAAGAGGTGTCACAAATGTTTTTAAATTTGTTGTTCAAAATGATTTTCTTAACTTGTCATTGATTCTAAATGATTAGACTCAGAACAGACTCAAGTAAATCATTCAGTCCACCTAAAAATGGCGCCAAATCAATAGTAATGTAGTAGTTACAGTAATTACTGATTGTATTACAAGTAAATTGAAAATCATAAATCGTACAAAATATACGTTGGTGGACAGCACCGCTGGTAAATTAACGAATAATTATAGGGGTATCAATTTGTTCACTATAAGAATAAAAGTCCAATTACTGATCAAAACATCGTTATGATATAAATTAATATTTATCGAAATAAATGGCGATAAACACGTTACTTATCTTATATGGTTATTCGAACTGAACCGTATAAACGCGTCTTAAGGCTGACATAGACACGCACGCTAATGAGTTCGACCGAAGTAATTTTTCAACTTCGGGAAAAAAGTCACACGGACTCAAGTCAGCCCAATAAGGAGAAGCTTCAGGAAGGTTTTACTGACCAAAAACTCGTTTATTGGCATTGCTGTGTGACAAGGTGGTGCGACTGACTATCACTCGACGATATGAACGCACAAGATCCCGGATTCTGTCGATATTTTCATCGGTTGTTGAAGTTGAAGGCCTCCCGCTTCGTGGTTCATCATCATCCGACTCTCTCCCTTCTGAAAATGCCTCAAATCACCGAAATACCTGGGCTTTTGACAAAACACTATCTTCGTAAGCCTTTTGAAGTTTTTGCAAGAGCTTCCGTTGCACTGTGCCCAAGTTTGAAGCAAAACCTGATAACACACCGTTGCTTGAAATTGATATCACTCATTTTTAGAATATATAATATATATATATATATATATATATATATATATATATATAATAGGAAAAACCATTTCAGAGAAAAAATCGCTACGGACAGCCAAATGACTCGAGCGAGTTCACACTTGTAATAAAGGCGGATCACAAATTCCCCAGTAATCACCGCCCCCCCTCCCCCCCCCCCAAGCCAGATCGAACGCTACGTTGCCAGCCTCATCACTTAATTTATATCCCTCGTACACTACGGTACAGTTCAAAAATCTAGATGTTTCTCCTAAATACACAGTATTATTACAAGGGAATGTTAGATATTGCAAAGTTACATGACTTGTCATTTAAATGTGATTTCGGATCCTAATTGTTGTTGAGGCCTAATATAAATGATATTCCGCCCTAAATTGTCGCGAATTAGAAAGCAGAAACATGATGTGATTTACTAATGTTCATAATGTATTTGTATTATTCATCTAAAGGAAAAAACCAGTAATGCAGAATTTTATTTTATTTTCATATCATTTATTCATATTGAATACCTATACAATACCTCATAATTCAAGTTGATAATTATATGATTACATCTAATAATTACAATCAGCAAAAATAATCATGTAAATAAACTAAAAATAGCATGTTTTCTCATATGTTAAATCAAACAAAGAATATTTTCCAAAATCATTCTTTCGGAGCAAATGTTATTTATAACGATACTTATTCACAACTAATAGATTTATGACATAAAAAACAAGTAAGTAAACACCACAAGATGTTACAAAAAGGGTAAAAAGGCAGTACTTGTACCATACAGAGAATAAAAGCAGTATAGTTGGAAGACTACTGCTTTTTTTGCTTTGATAGGTATACTTACTGCTTTTATGCTTAGGAAATGTAGCTAACATGGAATATTTTACAAAGTAAAAGACTAACTGTTTTTGTTAAATAACGTGATCAAGAATATATTTTGTAACCGTAATCCTAAAAGAAACGTATTGGCGTCAAAATTTTAAAAAGACAGCATCTGTCTGACAAATTCGTTAAGGCTTTCGCAGCCAGTTGATAAACTGCTGTCTTGATTCGGGTCTGAAGGCCGTCGTCGGTTGGAATTTCTTCCTAGCGTTTCGCTAGCACGAGTGGCAAGCTCCTTCAGAGGTCCTTCCATTTCCGATGCTGGATGTAGACTGACGATTTCTCCTGCGAAGGTTGTATTTATACCGGAGGGTAGGGGACGTGGCTTGTTCCGCTTCGGTTGACTTCGGGATGTCGATCGGCACTGCTCGGGTGTTTCTGAGGTTCGGGTACCAGATCGGGTTGAGTCTGAGGCTCTCTTCCTTCCTGTTGAAGTTATCTGGATGTTTGTGAATCTCGATAGCCTCCCTGACCAGTCTATTGTGATAGCCGATGACTGATGACAGCAACCTGCGGCTCCCCAAGTGTATCCCCATTGCTTAGTCCATGTTCAGCTACCGCAGACTTCTCAGTTTGTCCTAGCCGGCAATTTGCTTTGTGCTCCTTGAGTTTCGTTCCCATTGATCTTTTCGTGGTTCCAATGTATACTTTGCCGCACGAACACGGTATGCGGTAGACTCCTGCAGCTGAGAGTGGATCCTTCTTGTCCTTTGCCGATCTGATGGTTTGTTGGATCTTCTTCGTAGGCTTGAAGATTGTTTTAATGTCATGTCTCTTCAGGACTCTGCCAATCCTCTCCGTGACTCTTGGCACAAGTGGGAGATACGCTTGAGAGGTGGTGGGACGCTGTTCGGTTTCACGTGGCTTGGCTGATCTCGAGCCCATTGATCTTTCGATGTCCCTCTTGCTGTAGCCATTTGGTTCGAATGCAGTTTTCAGGTGCTCCAATTCTGTCTGGAGGTTCTCCGGTTCGCAAATCCTTCGAGCTCGTTCTATCAGGGTTCTGATGACACCATACTTCTGACTTGGGTGATGATTGGACAAAGCGTGCAGGTATCTGTCTGTGTGCGTTGGTTTCCTGTACACCGTGTGACCCAGGCTCTACGGCCTGCCCAAGATCCACAAGACAGATGTTCTGTTGAGACCAATAGCCAGTGCTCCCGGATCGCCGACGTACTACTTTACTACTTACCGAAACACTTGGGATCCCTGCTGCAACTATACGTGGGAAGGAGTACCAGCTACATCAAGGATTCCCCCGACTTTGTGCGCAAGATTCAGGACATCGTAGTTGAACCCGACGACATCCCTGTGAGCTTCGGTGTCGTCTCCCTTTTCACCAAGGTACCGCTGAGGGAATGCCTGGATCTGGTGAGCAGGATCTTCCCTTCTAACATCTGCAGGCTCTTTGAAATCTGTCTCACTGGAAGCTACTTCATATGGGACGGGGGCTTTTATGAGCAGACAGATGGAGTGGCAATGGGAAGTCCACTTAGCCCAGCCATAGCCAACCTTTTTATGGAACACTTTGAGAAGAAGGCGGTTGAGACATCGGAGAACAAACCAGCAATTTGGTTCCGGTACTTGGACGACACCTTCGTGATTTGGAAACATGGCACGGACAGGCTAAACGAGTTACTGCAGCATCTCAACGATCGGCATCCAAGCATACAATTTACCATGGAGATAGAGAGTGACCAACAACTGGCCTTCTTAGACGTACTAGTCAGGAAGCGAGGTAACAAGCTGGGTCACACAGTGTACAGAAAACCAACGCACACAGACAGATACCTGCACTCTTTGTCCAATCATCACCCAAGTCAGAAGAATGGAGTCATCAGAACCCTGTCAGAACGAGCTCGAAGGATTTGCGAACCGAGAACCTCCAGACAGAACTGGAACACCTGAAAACTGCGTTCGAAGCAAATGGTTACAGCAAAAGGGACATAGAAAGATCAATGGGCTCGAGAACTTCAACAGGAAGGAAGAGACTCTCAGACTCAACCCGATCTGGCACCCGAACCTCAGAAACACCCGAGCAGTACCGATCGACATCCCGAAGTTAACCGAAGCGGAACAAGCCACGTCCCCTGCCCTCCGGTATAAATACAACCTGCGCAAGAGAAATCGTCAGTCTACATCCAGCATCGGAAATGGAAGGACCTCTGAAGAAGCTTGCCACTCGTGCTAGCGAAACGTTAGGAAGAAATTCCAACCGACGACGGCCGCCTTTAGACCCGAATCAAGACAGCAGTATCTGTCTTTTACCTCAATCAAGTTAGTTCACGCTCAAAAATCGACCATTCATTAATTTTAATAATGTCAAACAGTAAATTGATGGTGTGTGAAAACCAAAACGGAAAATTTGGCACCACATTTTGCATGGCGACTTGAAACTGTGAGTGAAACGTACGAATAGCATGACTGTGTATGCAAGCCTTTAGACTTCAGCTGATGGCTTAATATGGATACTCATTTTGTATGAATCATCAAAATGGATCATACGATAAGCAAGTGGCAGGAAAATTAGCTGTGTAGTCTGTTGTTTATTTCAAACGGACATGCAGAATGAGTTTGAAAATAAAGAATTATATTTCTTAGTTATTTTTAATTTACAAGGAGAGGACATTTCAACCAGTGCGACTTAGTTCGACAGAAATTGGCCATCATAATGAACTAATTACCTAGTATCAGATTGGCGAAAACTTCTTAGAGATGCATAACTCTATTTATGCAACTTAGATAGTCATTACGAAAGAATTGACACAATGCATAGAGCAAAATATATTAAACTTATTTATTTTTTACTTTAATTTTCACTGTAGCCATTGTAAGACAATTTGTTATTTTCGGTAGGCTTATGGATGACACTCATTAATACCATAGCTACAATCTTCCCTTTATACTCTATTTTCCATTCTTTTGGATGTCCTTCGTAATCTTTTAAGGTAAGATAGTCATATTTATTAGAAACTAACATCTGAAGCAACATTTTCTGAAGTAAAAATGAATTTTTGAATAAACAAAAGATAGAAATCGTGTTCATGAGCTATTTACATCACTTTGATATATGTACATCTTTTTCTTCTAGGTGGTCGCATAAAATCTTAGAGGGCATCAATTTATAGCCGGACACCCTGTACATATTTTTAATATGTTACATCAATCTTATCCTGGAAGGCTATATGCGAATATGAAATAAAATATGGAGCATTTCATAAAAAAAATGTCTAAACCTTTTTTTAAACAAAATTTCCCATATTTTAATCTACATCCAGATAGACTCCTCCCTAGCAAATTTATTTTTATACTAGCGATATGAGGTACTGGCAAGCAGTTTCAAAATGATATCATTACACCCCAATCCCATATAAAAAAAGTTCCACTGTTATTTTTACGTTAAAATCAATTTCAGCACTTTAAATCGCATTCGTAGGGACCTATTATTATTATAACAAAAACAAGTAACTAATTTTTAAAATAGTTCTTTTAGGTCGAGGCAACTTTGATCATCCTTCCTTGTTCTAGTACCTTTCGGCTTGACTTTTTGAGCACTTAAATGTAGGATGAACCAACGAATTCAGTATTAAACTTAAAAATATAGTTCTGCCATTTCCAATCTGTAGAAAAGGTATTGTCATGTTGTCCATATAGGCTCTAAGCGGAATTAGTTTCTTATAGCGAAGCAACCGCGTAAACAGAAGCCTAAATTCCGGGACTCCGGGGCTGCTGTAAGTAGCTCAAGGAGGCCTTGTGACTCCGATTTTTGAACTTTACGAGGTTAGTAGAACTGGGAAAAGCCACCTCATGCAGATTGTTCCCACAATCTTGATACCCTAGGGTTAAAGGAGCGGTCGTATCGGCCAGTTCTGGATGTACGAGGTTCGACATGGTTAATATGGGAGGCCCCCAAGATCTGGAAGATAGCCTCAGTGACTCTTATATGGAAGGGAAAACCCGTGGAACTACCTTCCTCGCACAGACCTATCTGTATGCTGAGCGTAGTGGGAAAGTTCTTCGAAAGACTAATTAAACTTAGAATCGAAGAGGAGCTCAAATCGAAAGTTGACCTGTCAAACGAGCAGTATGGATTTAGGAAGGGCACATCAACCGTCCAGGCAATTAAAGCAGTCTCGGATAATCTATCGGAGACGGAAAGGAAGTGGTACGCACTGATCACTGTTGACGTAGAAAATGCCTTTAACTCGGCTACTTGGAGCCTAATTATTAAGGAACTCCGACGTAGGGAAATTTCAGCATACCTGATAAACTTGGTGGAGAGCTACTTGCAGGACAGAAAGCTTCTCCTAACGAAGAGAGAAACGAGGGACATCTGCGCGGGGGTTCCTCAAGGCTCAGTCCTTGGGCCTCTTCTGTGGAATGTGCTTTATGATGGAGTTCTGGGTCTTGCATTTCCACAGGGAATAAAATGCATTGCGTACGCTGACGATCTGGCGATCATAGCGGAGGCGAACTATTCCAAGGAGCTGGAAATCATCACGAACGAAGCGTTGGCAAGAATCAGCGAGTGGATGGCAGCAAACAAGTTGCGACTTGCCCCACAGAAGACGGAAGCCGTGATACTGAAGGGATCCCGCAAGAAGAGCTAGGTGAGTTTCCAATTCCTTGGCACGAAGATAGTGACAAAGAGACACCTCACGTACCCGGGAGACGTGTTAGATGGCAACTTAAAGTTTGGAGAGCACGTTCGTCAAGTCATCAGGAAGGTAGATGCTAGGATGGCCCAGCTATCAAGAATATTACCAAATATAGGAGGTCCAAGTAGCCCTAAAAGGACGGTCCTTTGTGAGGTAATCCACTCCGTGGTCCTGTACGCAGCTCCTGTATGGCACCGTGTGGTCCATGTCCAGAGATATAAACAAATGCTCTTGAGTATCCAGAGGAAGGCTTTGCTGCGGATATCGAGCGGCTACAGAACAATGTCCACTATGGCCGCTCAAGTAATAGCTGGAATACCCCCAGTCACTCTGCTCATAGAGGAAAGGCTCCGCCTGTACAGCAGGGATGATGCTAAGCTTCGTACTACCAGGTTGCTGGAAAGAAGCACAACTTTGGAGAAATGTCAGCGTGTGTGGAGCGACCACTCAGAGACGGCAATGTGGAGCAAGACTCTGATCCCGGACGTAAGACAGTGGGTTAGCTGTAAACATCGAAGGCTAGACTTCTACTTGACCCAGTTTCTATCGGGCCATGGATACTTTGCGGAGAGGAGGACTTCCCGGAGCACACAATCTTTGTGTGTCAAAGATGGGCCGCATGGAGGAGCAATACAGAGTCAGTTATCGGTGCGGAGGTCAATAGCAGAAGCATCACCATACTCATGATGAAAAGTAAGGAGAACTGGAACACAATACAGAGGTTCGTTCGTAATGTGATGAACGCAAAGCGCAGGGACGACATCTTGCACTAGCAGAAGAAACGAGCATATCCGCTGCGAATGCATCTGAAGACATGCCGCAACAAGTGGTGCTACCGGATGTAGTCGCGAGCCAGAGGAGGTGGTTTAGTGGGTAATCAGTCTACTAGAATGTAGCTGGAGTCCCACACTCGAATCTGTCTAGCAGGCTCATTGTTCGGCTGCATCACGGAGAATATCTCTGAGGAGCAAAGCCCGTTAACATAGCTGTAGAGGAGAGCCAGATCGCCGACGTCCCGGTGTGAGAGGATCCCGAGGCTGTCCATTAGAGGAGAGTTATCGATCAGCCGGACGATCCTGCCTCTGAACAGCGTCGAGCATGGATAATGTAGTCCGGGCATCAACACGCCAAGTACTCGAGGGTAGGTCTTGGGCCTTGTACAGAATGTGGAGGTTATGTGGAGGAAAGTGTACTAAGTGACAAAAAAGGAAAACATCTTCATATCTTTATTAGAATTCAAGAATTTTCTACATATCGATCTATCTTGCCATGAACGAGTGATAAAATGGTCAGGTTTTTCTGTTAAGTTTTTGTGGTGGCTCCGTGTATTGTTTGTTGAATTGAATGTTAACTTTCGTGTAGCTTATTGAGAAGCCTTTATGTGATTGATCAAAATGCCTAGAGTGCGTAGAATTATCCGGGTGTCCCAGCTAAGTGACTGAGAGGGGTCGAATTGTCGGGTTGCGTTTCGCCGGTCTATCGATAAGAGAAGTTTCTAGGAGTACGCAGGATACCGAGCGACCACAGAGCGACAAGACCGACGGTTAAGACTTCTGACTATGAGAGACAGATTCAGCAGTACTCGAGCCATCGCTGTGGTTTGAAGAGCATGGAAAGATGGTTGGTATGCGTACGATGTATCGCCAAATATGACAGTTGACCTTTTCCCGTGGTGCTACCTCTCACAGCTGAACATCGGCGTGTATAGAAATAATTCTGTGGGACCTGGAATGGAATCAGGTGGTCCTTACTGACGAATCTCGCTTCTGCCTGGGGATGCACGATGGTCGGGCAAGAGTGACAAAGCGACGTGGTGAAACACGTAACCCACAATTTGACAGAGAGCGTCACGTTCACCACACCGAGGGAGTTATGGTATGGGGTGCTATTGCTTATGGCAGCAGATCACCACTAATTTTCATCAGAGGCAATATGACAGCCCGACGCTATATTCAGGAAGTAGAGGAGCCTCATCTTATTCCATACCTAAACACCATTCAAAACCCGATTTTGCAGCAAGACAATGCCAGACCGAATGTTGCCAGAACATCGTTAGCCTTCATGGATCAACGTCGCACCAACCGTTTACCTTGGCCACCACGATCGCCTGACCTATCTCCAATTGAACATGTCTGGGACACGACAGGTCGCAAGCTCTTCAATTTGCAACAGCTTCCAAAGACTTTAGCAGCTCTTACTCACGAAGTTGCAGTAGCCAGGAATGAGATACCCCAACAGGATGTCGACCACCTTATCAGCACGATACCGAGGCGTGTCAATAAGTGTATAAGAAATCGTGGATCCTCAACACATTATTGAACCAGCTTCTGCAGTCAGTTGACGAATCAAACTGAAAATTTAATTATTTTACTAGTAAAGGACACTGAACATATATGCCATAAATTGTTAAAATCACTCAGTATGTATTTTTACATGTCTTACTTCTATTTATCATATCTGCGACATGTAGCGCAGCCCAATTACGGGTCAATCGTTCGTGATCCAAATATATGCGAAAACTTCCCCTACAAAAGGGAAAATGCTTCGTTATGTCTTTATAGGATCAGCAGCCCTTAAGATGTTATGAAAGGAATGCGACGATAATGTATAGAAGTAAAGGAAAAGAAAAAATGGTAGAAACTCCTTGCGCCGTGATATAATACCGTATAGTAGAAGGAATATGGAGGATGTCTTTTAGGTTTTGCATATGGAAATAAAACAACACGGTAGGTAGTTTTAAATGACTTTATTGTTTTTCGAAGTATTCGCCAGGAAGATTGATACATATCTGCATGCGCTCGAACCAATTTTCGAAGCACTTACCCCACTCGTTTGCTGGCAGATCCAAAACGGCATTTTTCAATGCGTCAACTGCTTCTTCTGGTGACTGGAACCTTTGACCCCGCAGTCTGTTTTCAATTTTCGGGAAAGTAAAGAAATCGTTAGGACTTAGATCGGGACTATATGGAGGATGGCCCAATAATTCCACGTTTTCTTCCGTTAAATACTGCTTTATTTTTTGGGCTGTATGCGAGCTTGCATTGTCTTGGTGGAGGATGATTCTTCTTTCGGGGTTGATTTTTCGAAGCTCGGTGATGACTTTTGGCAAACAAATGGTGGTATACCAATCCGCAGTAACAGTTCTTTGCTCGTTAAGAGGAATTGTTGCAATATGACCCGCTTTTGACACAAATGTCGCGACCATCTTTTTCGAACCACTTCGAGAACGGATGGCTTTTGTTCACCTTGGAACACCCAAACAGCCGACTGTCGTTTATTTTCTGGTTCATAACAGTAAATCCACGATTCATCGCCACTAAAAATGCTGTACACATTTTTTGAGTTTTCGGAATTGAAACGGTCAAACGTTTTTTGACACCAATTAACCCTAGCTGCTTTCTGCTCTTCAGTCAACAGGTGGGGTATCCAACGAGCAACTAATTTTCTTACTACTAATTATTAATGTAAAATTTTTTGAATTGAGGTCTTTGAGATCTTCAAGGACGCCTCAATCTCGCGATATGTCGCATGTCTGTCTTCAATGATGAGTTTGCGCACAGCATCGACATTTTCCTGGGTGACTGCCATTTTTGGTGCACCCACCCTGGGATCGTCGCTAAGACTCCCCCGTCCACATTTGGATTCTCCATACCAACGGGAAATTGTCGACTGATGTGGCGCTTCATTGCCGAAAACATACTCAGCAAGGCATTCTTGTTGCGATAATTGTCTCTGAAAGTTGTAATAAATTATGGCGCAAAAATGTTCTCGGTTGAGTTCCATTTTTCTAATGACTTGGTGACACTTAAAAGTTCACTGTAGTGAGAACACTGCATGTATTGTTGTGAAACTTTGAATTTAAGTTTACTAAAGAGTGAGGTGAAGATTCAATACTGACGTTCGATCCGCGCGGCCTACTATGTTTCTATATGCCAAACTTAAGACATCCCTCGTATCAGGGAAAAACAGTATTGTTGATTAAAAAAATGAATTATGAACTTTGAATATGCACCATTGATGGTATCTGAGTCAACTTTCGTACATTCTCGTATCCATTCGCCTGCCATTGAAATTATTAAAGCTGATGACGTCATTCATTGGGAATAATTGATAATTAAATTGTCAACTGTTGTTCTGAATATGCAAGCTGCATAATATCTGGTCAACGTTACCGCCAGAGCTGCTGAATTCAGATGGGACCCTCAGCTAATACAGGATATCGCGTGTTCGTAGGAAGCTGATGTTGTGTCGAACCAGGTGGGTAAAACTTTCGGAATTACAAATTTCTGAATAATAAAGCACCCTTCACTCATACTAGAGATGCAACATGCTGCTCCCTATAAAAGTATCAGGAACCTCAGGAATGCCAAAAGACGAAGTTTGAGCGATTTTTGTTTTAACTTATTTTATTTATTTCCAATAAGCAGACCGATCCTTAATTTCAATACATTTAGAACAACGGAGCGGTCAAAATGACCAGTTCTTTACGTACCAAGTTCGATGGATGGAAGGCCGAAGTCAGGCGGGTCTGCCTGACAGGCTCATCGCTTAACTGCATCATGGAAGAGAGCTCTGAGGAGCAAAGCCCATGGACATAGCTTTAGAAGAGAGCCAGGTAATGCGACGGGGACCCGAGACTGTCCCTGACAAGAATCATCGCTCAGTGAAAAAGTGATATTTCTGAAAATTCTACTATATTAACCTAACAAAATAATACCTGATCTTTAAAGTCGAGGATAATGTGAACTTTTCGGTGTAACAACTTGTGCTGTATTACTACAAATAAAGGAGAGGGGGCATTCTTAGGTTTACGTAATAGGAACCCTGTATCTTCGACACGGTTGAGCCGATTTTAACAAACTTGGGTTAGTTAGTTAGTTAATTTTTTAAGTTTTGTGAGTTTCTACGATGGATAGGTTCTACTTGCATTCTCAGTTGGCCAATCGGCGAGCGAAGTATAACAAAAACGGATACTGAATTTATACCTTCACTCAGTTGAAGCACTTTTAGTTGTTCCAACTAACTTAATCAACACGACCCACTTACTTATTAAAACCTATAATTTCTAAGGATTGACAATTGTCGCTTGAAACCTTCCCACTGTTTGCCCTCTAGTTAGTATCTACACATCGTTTGACAAACCAAGCAACAGGGTTTTGTATATGGAGGGTGTGTGCAAACACGGTTAGAGGGCCTTTTAACGGGAAGAACCGCGAAACGCAGGATAACGCGCGGTTAGAGATGAGGAGGGGGTATTCACCGGTGTCATTAATCAAAAAGCTTTTAACTGATAATTAACATGTCTTTTGTGCGAAACTGATCTCATGGTCGGTATAATGGAATTACTCTCGAGGTAAGCGATTGCTGCATTTGAGAAGATGGTATTCCGCAAGCAAAATAAGAATAATAGTTACAATTTTTATTTATTTAGGGGCAATTTCACCAACAACATTCCGTTATTCTCAACCTATAGGGTAACAGACCGTCAGATACAGCGAATGAGCTTCAAGTTCCAATTAACAAATTTTAGCAACCAATAGCTATGAAATATTGAAAACAAAATACTGTCAAAGTATGAGATGACAACTTGTCATTGAAACATCACCAGCTTATTAAATATTAAGAAATTACATATAATTCAGTCAAAATTTTAAGAAATGTTTGGTTTTTGAATTAAATTCATGTTTTAATTACTATTGTTGATTTTTTATTCATGTTTATATTATTTTCTTCAATTGATATGTGATACTGGGTGTGTTTTCCTATAAACCTCTTGCAGACAGCCATTAAGCACCTACTTGATGACAGGCTCTAACAAAAGATATTGCTCGTTTCCAAACATTCATTCATTTACTTGCCGTTCATCAGAACCATTATGGCACCTTAGATTGATATTCCCACAAAACCATTCAGGTTTTTTGATATCCATACATCCATAAAGTTGAATATTTTTCATTGTTCAGGAACTGAACAAACATCCACACTATATTCACATCGATTAAGAAATTCCCAAATATATGCCTTAAAGCTACCAGCAAACCTAAAACCTGCAAAAAACTACAAATTTGCCATGTTTTTCTTTTTTCACGAGTACACATTCTAGGTTATATTTATATTAGACATTATTTGAATACAGCTGATTATTGCATTTCAAGGAGTGACACATGTGTGGGATGTGTCAACTCTTGGTACCAGTCACAAAACGTATACTCTGAAGGTTTAATTCCATGCTATTCAATGACGAGACGGTGTTTTGTGTTTGTCATCGGCCATTTTGTGAGGGTGCGACAGGGTTGCCAGATTGTGCATTAATATCCCGTTTCAGCCTCCTGGTCTCTACTATGCTTTATAAGACTATTCGTGACACTTTTCCCAAAATCCTTGCACAATACTTGAAAAAATGCAAATGAACATTTAAAATTATTTCCATGACGCCGCAAAATAGCTCCGTCGCTACCTTGGGTTATACATCTTGGCAGTAGGGATGTTCGATACGATCCTATATTTAGAAGTATCAATACATTTCACAAGTATCGTCATCTTTCGATCCGAACTGTGAAAGAGTGAAAGAGTGACTGCCATTTGGCTGCGACATTACCTTGCCAAATCAGACATATCTTTCATCATTTTCAAAGAAATTGTACAAAATCTTCAAATTTGTGAAGTTAGCGAGTTTCACTTCATACGTTGTTACCAGACATGCCCAAATCATCAGTTGCTGCCGTGATATTCATCCTGACCACTGCATCCCCACGGCTAGGCGATCTGTATGTTAAATTTGTATTGATAGGGCAGCGGGTTATGCTATAAATCATATGTCACAGTGTTTGTGCACGGTTAGATAATACCAAAAATATTTTCATAAATAGGAGATCTTTCCCATTCCGGATCGAACAATTTAATAAAGATGCTTATAATCATGATACCTAGTAAATCTTCACTAAAAAATTCAAAACCAGCAAATGTAAAAGATTCATTTCGCACCCTCCACCACGGGTCGTGATCGTCGTTAGACTTGGCAACCCTGCGAGTGACAGATAGATATCCCTCCCGTCAAAAAGAAAAACATTACTAGTTTTTATGGTTTTTTGGACTTAAGAGACATTATTTGTGAAACATTTTTCATAATTTTTTGTCTATGTCCATAGTAATTGTATTATGCATCAGGGAGATGTAGGGATTGACACGTCTTACACATATTATCTGTGTTTTAGGATGGAGAGGACATAATGTTTTTATTGCTTTGAAGAAATTCATTAACCCATAAATTAATAAATGATTACTATATAACAAACGTCTAAATCTGCTGCCAAATTTAACAGCTAGAAAATCGAACTATTATTTGCCGCATTCCCATTCGCTGAAGGGGATAACAGATGGTTAAATGTAAACCTATAACATATATCAAAATACATGAAATTTGTCCTGTTTTTTCTGTACAAAAGCATCATGTTGAAATCAAAAAGTGGTCTTGTTTATAATACAGTCGAACTTTCACGATTTTATTCAATATTTTTATAGAGATCACTAATATTCAGAGACCTTTGACAGCTTCTGTCAAATTGCATTTCGATAAGGTATTTTCCCATTGGTACATAATATTAATGTTGGTGAAATCGGCCCTTACTTAATCAACGGATGAAATCCTTGTCACAGATACAAAAACAGTTTTAGTTTGAAGCTCCAATCCACGAATTTCAGCCCCTACAATTTTTTTTCTGAAAATGATCAGGGCCATCTGAAACGTCAAAAAAAAACACGGCAATCGGTGGGGGGCAGAAGATCAAAGGGACCGATGGTGGCTGTCGCATCTGTATAATCTGTGACATTAACAGACGTTTCAATTGATTCTAAACTACAACCTAACCTAAGAAGACGAGTTATGGGTTCACTCTAACCAAAATTTGTTTGGTGAAAATGGAGAAAGGACGTTTCAGTATGCCGCGTTCTCATATCGATCGCATTAAGTTAATTTTTTTTTAGAGTTCAGGACCAAGATGACCACTGATAATGTTGTACAAGGAAAGTCAAATTCCAATCTGCGTCGTTCAAGAAAAGTCACGTTTATAAAGAGAAGAGTATCAGTATAACTATACTCCTACATGATGAAACCCATTTTATATCCACAGATTCTCAAAAAGGACATGCACACGCTCTGACTGAATAATCTGTATAAGTTATAACTTGGGGACCAGATGAAACAACAATACGAACAAATCAAAACAATAGAAAATTTTAAAAGAAAATAGTGACAGAACAATACAATGCCGATTTATGAAACCTAACATCGTATATACACAGTTGAGTTTTTTCAATATGTGAGTTAAATGGTGATCCTGAGTCAAAAATAACTACCTATTCTTAAATCTGGTCTGTAGTTCCTAAATTTACCGTTGGTGCTATAAGATTAAATAATAGGAGAACGAGACCGACTAAATGTAGTTTTGAAACGTTTCGCTTGACGCCAATAAAAAAGATGGTATAATTCTCTTTGCAACACTTCAGCGTCACGCTTGTTCCCAAGAACTATAAAAATCTTGAAATCAGACGCAAATAAAAGAGTCTCACTGCACACAAGACCCACAGGATCATTAATATATATATATATATATATATATATATATCAAATCACAACAAACCTGCGGAAATCCAAACGTTACACGAATACTACGAGATGTAATACTACACGCACCATATCTTATATAATTACTTATCCAATTCAAGATCTGACCCTGAACACCATAGTTGTCAAGTTGTTTTGTTCGTTAAGGTACAATATTGTG